TTCATACATCGCTGTTCCCACCTAGTAATGGCATAATCTCCTAGAGTAGGCCTACACATAGGGCCCAGCTATGAGATGACAAAATGAAGTCAACTTCAAATGCTTTAAACGCTCTTACTGATTAGGGTGACATTGGTCTACTATGAAAGCTTTAATGTTAGCGGTGCAGCTTCATGTTATTTCTATTAATTCTCAGATGTCTTTGATGGAGCGAGGGGGAGTCCTCATCAGTCCAGTGACTGGACTAGCATGGACCTCCAATAGCAGTACCTGCCCAAAAGACTTCAGTCTGGTAAGAAGGAACCAATCACAGATGGACAAACAACTTAGTGGATGAATTTGATGTTGATGTTCAAGAAAGGACCGGGCCAAGAATGATTATTATGTGAAATTTCTATTTTGTTTGTTGTTCTTTTTACAACATTTAGGTATGAATAACATCCTAAAGTACTCAGGTGGTTCATCTAACTGTTCTTTCTGTTGATTGTGATTCTCAAAGATAACCATCACAGAGGATGGGGCTGCCGCCAACTTCACACGCAGCTTTGCAATGAGGTCCGGCTACTATCTTTGTTATAGCAAGGTAAGACACTTACTACTTGTTTTTTCTCTGATACCTTATATTGAGCATTGCTCTCACTCCTAACCTCTCTTACTCTGACCTGAACATCCTATTCTAGGAACAATCTGGGGGGGTGGTGCTGTCTGATGTCAGAATCCTCTCAGAAAAAGATGCTATTCCTCATGGATATTGTTTCATAACAGAACACCTAGAGCCTAGTAAGCAACTGTTACTCATGCACACGCACGCTTGGCTGTATTTATGTGGACAGTGGATCCACATAAAAATGCAATCAAAATGTTTTTATTTGTCATTTGTCAGATGCTTTTATCAAAAGAGACTTACAGTATATTCATATACATGTAATTTAGGTGCAGGTATGGGATAGGCATATCAAGGGTGGCTACAGACTTCCACTACTCAGGTTGGGAGTTGAACACCCTAGACACTAAGCTGTCATGAATGGCTATTGCTATTGCTATTTTGTGTGTGTGTATCCTCAGAGGTGTCAGTGTCGAAGAGGAAGCGTATATGTGTGCGTATGGTTCCCATTGGCAGTGTGGACACAGCAGTGCTGGATATCAAAGTGACTGCCAAGAGCAAAATGATGTTGCAGCACTACACATGTGTGGGGTAAGTCAATCACCGATAGTTGTACACACTAATTAGATTAGATTAGATTCAACTTTATTGTCATTGTGCAGAGTCCAATACAGGGACAATGAAATGCAGTTGTCGTTCTAACCAGAAGTTCAAATGAGCGATTAAAGTGCAGTATTTTTCCTGAGGAGTGCAATATTGAAAAAAGTGACGTAGTAAACAGTGAACAGTGCAAGTGGAGGTAGTGATTGTAGAGGTAAGTACGGATAAATAATCAGTAACAATGTAATGTAATGTAATGTAATGTAATGTAATGTAAACAAGGCTGTAAACAATGTGAACAATGTAAACAATGTACAAGTAGTGCAATAATGAGGTAGTGCAATACAACAGCATCATAAAAACAGATGAATGCAGATTGTATGGATATGAGGGTGGGGGGGGGAGAGAAAAGGGGGGGGGGGGCAACGGCAGTTAAGAATAAATAATACAATAAATAATATGTTCATAAATAATATGTCCTGAGGGGTGAGGGGTCCAGATGTTGGGTGAGCAGGGGGGGGGGGGCAATGTTCATATGGGTGTGGAGTTCAGAAGGGTGACAGCCTGAGGGAAAAAGCTTCCCCTGAACCTGCTGGTCCGGGTGCCCAAGGACCTGTAGCGCTTTCCAGAGGGGAGGAGAGTGAACAGTCTATGGTTGGGGTGAGAGTTGTCCTTTGCGATGCCACGCGCCTTACGCAGGCACCGCTTCCTCTGGACAGCCTCGATGGAGGGGAGTGGGGAACCGGTGATGCGTTGGGCGATTTTCACCACCCTCTGCAGTGCTTTCCGGTCCGAGGCGGAGCAGTTACCATACCACACCGTGACACAGTTGGTTAGTATGCTTTCGATGGGGCTGCGGTAGAAGTTCACCAGGATCTGAGGAGACAGTTGGGCCTTTTTTAGTCTCCTCAAGAAGAAGAGGCGCTGGTGAGCCTTCTTGATCAGGGCAGTGGTGTTGAGGGACCAGGATAGATTCTTAGAGATGTGGACTCCCAGAAACTTAAAGTTGGTTACCCGCTCAACCTCCGACCCGTTGATGTGGAGGGGGGCGTGTGTGCCACCTCTAGTCTTCCTGTAGTCCACGATAATCTCCTTGGTCTTCGTGGCGTTGAGGGACAGGTCGTTGTCGACGCACCACGCAGCTAGGCTCTGGACCTCATCCCTGTACGCTGACTCATCGTTGTTGCTGATGAGGCCTATCACCGTTGTGTCGTCTGCAAACTTAACGATGGTGTTTGAACCATGTGTCGGTGTGCAGTCGTGGGTGAAGAGAGAGTACAGGAGAGGGCTCAGCACACAGCCCTGCGGAACGCCAGTGTTCAGGGTGAGGGTGGAGGAGGTGTGACCGTTAATCCTAACAGACTGCAGTCTGTTGGTCAGGAAGTCGAGTATCCAGTTGCGGAGGGAGGGGGCGATGTCCAGATCACGGAGTTTGGTGATCAGTTTGCAGGGGTCGATGGTGTTGAATGCTGAACTGAAGTCAATGAACAGCATTCTAACGTATGTGTGGCTTTTGTCCAGGTGGGAGAGGGCGGACTGTAGGGCCGTGGAAATGGCATCCTCTGTACTCCTATTCTGGCGGTAGGCAAATTGAATGGGGTCCAGTGTGGGTGGTAGACAGGTTTTGATTTGACCCAGGACCAGCCTCTCGAAGCACTTCGCGATGATGGGGGTAAGCGCGACTGGGCGGAAGCCATTACGGTCAACTGCATTGGAGTGTTTGGGCACTGGCACGATGGTGGTGGATTTAAGGCACTCAGGGACAGTTGCTTGGGCTAGTGAAAGGTTGAAAATGTCAGTCCAGACCTCAGTCAGCTGCTCAGCACAGGCCGTGTAGACGCGTCCGGGGACACCATCAGGGCCAGCTGCCTTCCGTGGGTTAATCCTGCTCAGTGCTGCAAACACGTCGGCGGGGGAGAGTGTGAGGGGCTGGTGGCCTGCAGGGAGCACCTCCTTGATGGCCACCTCCTTGTTGTCCTTGTCGAAGCGCCCGTAGAAGAGGTTGAGTTCTTCAGGTAGGGAGGCGTCGCTGGATTGGGGGGTGATGTGAGCGGATTTGTAGTCCGGGATGCCTGAATGCCCTGCCACATGCGTCGGGGGTCGGAGTCATTCGTGAAGTGCTCCTCGATCCTCAGCTTGTGGCTGTGCTTGGCCTCAGTGATGCCCATCTTCAGGTTAGCCCTGGATGAGCTGTAGGCCCGCCGATCCCCAGATCTGAAGGCGATGTCACGTGCCTTCAGCAGGGCTCGGACCTCCCTGTTCATCCATGGCTTCTGATTAGGGAATGTGGTGATCCTTTTCAGTGTGGTGACACTGTCTGTGCTGGACCTCATGTAGTCCAGAACAGAGGAGGTGTATAGGGTGATGTCAATGTGGGAGTCAAGGGTTGCCTCAGAGGAGTGCTTACTCCAGTCATGGTTTTTAAAGCATTCCTGCAGTTTAGCCTCCGCCCCTTCTGGCCAGATCTTGACTATCCTCACTGTGGGCTTCACACGTCTGATAAGTGGGGAATACTTCGGGAGTAGGAACAAAGAGACATGGTCTGATTGTCCTAAGTGGGGGAGGGGGATGGATTTATAGGCATCGGCCATGTTTGTATAAATATGGTCTAAATTTTTGTCTCCCCTGGTGGGGCAGGAGATATGCTGCTTGAATTTGGGGAGAACAGTCTTTAGGTTCGAGTGATTGAAGTCACCTGCAACATTGAAGGCTGCCTCGGGGTGTGTAGTTTGTTGCTTGCTATTGGCAGAATGCAGTTCTTTCATCGCAAGCGTAGCGTTAGCGTCAGGGGGGATATAGCTGGCCGTAATGATAGCAGATGTGAATTCCCTTGGTAGATAAAAGGGTCTGCATTTAACCATGAGATATTCAGCGTTCTCTGAGCAGTGGCTTTCAATGATGGAGGAATCTGTACACCAAGCATTGTTGACATAAATGCACGAAACCCCCACCTTTGCTCTTGCCCGAGTCGGCCTGTCCGATCTGCTCTGAAAACGTTGCGCTCCGCTAGGTTAATAGCATTGTCCGGGACGGGAGGGTTTAGCCAAGTTTCCGTGAAAATCAGGAGATTGCAGTCCATAATCTGTTTGTTGGTGGTGATCCTCAGCCGTAGTTCGTCCATTTTATTCACCAGGGATCGGACATTGGCGAGGAAGATGCCGGGAAGGGCAGTCTTGTGCGGTGCGAGGCGAAGTCTGTCCCTAAACGTGCAATCATTTAAATTCACACATCTATCATCTCCTATTTGGTTATAAAAGTACAGCATGCATTACACCCATACAATTGAATTAAAACGGTATTGCATGTAATACAATAAAAGTTGAATTTATCTACTTTTCTCTCTCACTTTCTCTCTCGCTGTCTCTCTCTGGCCATTTAATACTACCTACCTACTTGTACATATGATTGTATTAGTTAAATTAACAGCATATCTTTTGTATACCTACATGGCCAACTTTGTCCAGAGACATCCATGGGTATGTGATCTGGTGTAAAACGGGCCAGTTTACCAACCCCATGCCCCAAGCCAAGCCTCGCCGTGTCAGCCTGGACCTCCATAGACTCTCTTTGGATCAGTCGAACCCGCTGCCCTACCTTACACCGAGGTATCCCTTTCCAGTGAGAATTATGCTGTTTGCCTTGAACTTTACAGTTTTCCTTTTTTTCAGTTGGAGTATTGACACATTGTCTTTTAGTATGTAAATCTCTTATTTAAGATAAGATCAAAGGTACTAACCTCCGAGGGGAAATAGTGGTGTCACAGCAGAAAGTACAGGACAGTAATAAGAATTCAAAATAGTTTCCATACCGGGAATCGAACCCGGGCCCCTACCAGGAATTGTAACTGTAGACCATATTGGAAAACATTACTGGAGATGCTGCAGATTGAACCCGGGGCCTCATGCAAAGCATGAGCTCTACCACTGAGCTACAACCTCTTTCATGGTATAATAATTTCTTAGTTGGCTCTGCGTTTTTTGTATGACCAGCCTAATGTTTAAGCTACACTTTAAGACGCATGGGCTCTTCATAGACATTTAAATACACAAATATTACTCTTGACAACATTATTACACTGATTTTTTTTTACTCAAAATGTCCCTCCCCATATAAAGCCTGCAACCGGCATGGCATACAATTTTAGCACAATCCAATCAAATCACATCTATTGTTCTGCAGTAAGTACTGGTTTTACTTGGAAAGTAAAGATAATAGTAAGATGCACTCATAAAAAGGCATAAAATCTCCAAAAGCGTAAAGGATGCAGTTATTTGAATTGAAAAGTTGAAAGTTGTCATATCACTAGCTTTCTCTTTCTTGTTGTATCCTTAGTAACCCACCACCCCAGCCCCCTGGGAAGATCAGCATGAGGCGCAACAACCTACCGCATTTTCATGTGGATAAAGCCGCTGATAACAGTCTCCCTGTCACCACAGGTTTGCCAAGAATGCTTTTTATACATTCAATCAATGTGAATCTCTTGAATGTCAAACTCCTGTAGCTACTCTTCACTCTGTTCAGTTTTTGAGAAATTTGGTTGTGCAGTTTATTTGTTTTTGTTACTCCAATTGTTATGCTATGCTTTTATAATTTAGTCATAGTTATAGTCATAGTTTATAACTAAACTATAACTAGTTTAGTTATAGTTAGTCATGTTGGTTTAATGTGTCTGCTAAATGTAATGTAATGAATGACTCTTCATTGTGTACTCCATAATGTTTTGGATCAACTCAATGTAAATATGTTTATGTTCCAAAGCCATCGATGGAGTTCCCTTCACTCTTCACCCAAAATATGACTTCCAAACTTCCAAGGTGTGTTTATGTTTTCATTTCTTTCTTTCTTCTTCCCTTTTTATATAACAATCTCATATAAAATAGATAATAAAACATTATTTTGTCTGACAGAATCTCCAGCTGAACTCTCAATTGGATGACATTTGTATCAAGTCTCTCCAAGACATTGAAAATGAGGTATGATCTTTTGAAATGTAACACAACACCCCACTAGACTGAACATACCACATTTTGTATTGTGCAGTGATGTTTATGACACTTCCACTGTCCCTTTGCATTTTCAGTATAACTACACTTTTGCTGTGGAGGAACATGCTGCAAAGAGAACAAGGCCTTCAGTTTTGACTAAAGTTGCCTCATAGTCTGAACGACCTTTGCACTTTGATTTCCCATGCACTATGGCCCTTGGGCACCTGCTGTGTTCCTGAAAAGTTGTCAGTACGATTCCTCATGTCACCGTAAAATGATATTAGAATTAAGATTAAATATGCGATACAAAATTATCTAATTCATATCAGAAGAGAAACCTATCATATAAGGGTTTATTTTATGTCATGGGTATGGGTGATGGTAAAATAATCCCATGTCATAGCTATTGATGTGCCTTAATCTAACCTAACTGTTTAGGTGGTCGGTGTTGCTGTTAAATATTTTCCTTGCACTCCTTTTTACATCACTCTATTTCCATATCTAAATTTATATTTTTGTTTATTAGAATATAGATCTGTTATCCAAGAACATGCATATATACCTATGTATATTGTACACTACATGTGGAAAGCATTAAAGTTGATTGAATAAGTTGAGGTATTTCATGACACAGTTCCAATCAACCAAGTGTGTCTTCTTCAATTAACAAATGTATTACACATTTATCATTGTGGCACATTTAAGATTGCATGTGACTGGCTAAAAGTAGTTTGATGTGTGGAGCAAGCTATTTTGTATTTAAAAATAGCATTGAGTATGACATTGTGGTGGATAAAGGTTACACAATTGTTAGGAGACCAAACTAACTGCATTAAAGTGCCACACGTCATTATTTCTCATATACACACCATTATGTCCATGAAATGAAGGAATTTGTTGAATATTGTGCTGCTTTGTTTGTCATATTTGTGTATGTTGAGTTTCATATTTACAGATGATGTGTCAGATACAGATTATCTCTGTATCTGACATCTTACATTGTCATCTTTGGGATATTAGGGGCGAATTATTTGTCATAATTTGTGGAATATATTTATGGTCTCTATAATAAACATCTCAAGGCTTGGGAACAGGACCCTGTATACATATTTAGTTTTCTTTTAAGGGCCATACTTGAAGGGTCATATGTATGTGGATATGAATGTACAATAAGGAAAACATGAAAGCATCCCAACATTGTATAATGTGGTTTGAAAATGCATGTTCCATTGCTGGAAGTAAAATAATAGTTTTGCTTTTCAATTGGTGTACGTCAATTGAAATCTGAAATTTCACTGTACCCTGAGGCAACATTTTATATTTATATTGAAACCACTTAGTACTGGAACATGTAAAAGTGATCCGGTTTGTAAGACATATAATATTATCGTAATATTCACGTTCTTATATTTTAAAACATTTCTTAAATCGTACAATTTTCCAATCGTCTTGAATTCATTTCAACAAGCACATTTTGTTGGATAACTTATAACAGGTAGTTCCCTTGAATACCGGTAGGGGGAGCGCCATCCTAGACATTCAATCAAATAAAAAGGAAGTAGAAGTAGTATATACCCTCCCCTTCTATACCGTCTCATCAGTCTGGCGTTGTGCTTGTGGTGTCCAAGCCTAGAGTAACACAAAGAAGAGATGGAAGGCAGAGGCTATGGTTCAGGCAAGAAAACTCTTACTAAAGCTTCACAGGAACATCAGTTGATTTTCGGCACAATATGTTTACATATAGATAAGTCATGGATCGCCGCGTTACTAACCTAGTGTTGGCTTGCTAATTTACGTTTACAGCTTTGTTTAACTAAGAGCATATCTCACAGCGTCGGCACTGTCTGTAAAGTGTGTCATCCGATAGAACCATGAGCTTTGAATCCCAGACAAACACTTCGCAAGTTGTGGTTTTATATAGCTAACGTTATATAGCTAGCTTAGGTTGGCGATTGCATATCGATGTCGGAAAGCGGCGACAATGCACCTGTATCTGCCCAGGTTGCGAGCTTTTTGGCCATCTATCCTTAGGAAAAGGGGCCACTATCGTAATTGTATTACAGTTAAGCAAATCTTTAGCTGCAACGTTGTCTATCTGCTGATAATCTTGTTAAAATGGAGTCTGACAAGAAATTGTCTCATAAAGCTAATAAAATGGCCGCCAAACTATTTACTGATTACTTGGAGCAACCCTAGCTAGCTCTGACATGTCATTTCCCCCTGTTTTGATTTGAATGTCGTAGTTTGCGTTTCATTCATGAGAAGAATTGTTTTATGGATACGCAGTAGTCGCATCGGTCAAGTTGTTTTTTGTATTTAATGTATTTTATTCCCATTGTCTCTCGCAGGTTACTCCAGCTGGGGAGGCGGGGGGTCGGGCAACAGAGGTAGGAAAAATGTCCCAGTGGTGTCTCAAAAATTAGGACGGTAACCCACGATTATGGCGTTACAAACTCGTTCATAATGATCGTTCTCCTCCTTGGTTATTATAGGTTCAAACAGCTTTGACATGTATGGTGGTGGTGGAGGAGGTTATAAAGACTCGATGTCCGGTCTGGGGGGATACGGAGGTGGTGGGCAAATGAAGAGGGGTCTCTCCGGTGGCTCCCTGCTCTCCTCCTCAAGCTCAAATGCAGATGCAGTCATTGCCAAGATTAACCAGCGCCTGGATATGCTCACACAGTTGGAGGGAGGGATGAAAGGTGGTCGTAGCGACAGGTATGGCGCTTTTCCAGACATCTGTGATGACAATAATGGCATGTTAAATGTCCTACTTATTACCTAGAGTTAAATACATTTGCTATTGACATTGAGACTCCAGTTAAAGTTGTATTTATTTGTTCATAACAAAATTACATTTAATCTTTTAATTGTCAAACAAGATGAGGGGTTTCCATTAAGGGTGCTCCGATCATGATTTTTAGGGCCGATTGCTGGAAGCAGTATCGGTTAATACCAAAGATAATAGAGCGGAGCAAGATGGATCAGTAGCATCAGGGCGGTGAAGTACGTTCTCAGCCTGAATGGACGCCATTTTAGTAAGCCGCCTCAACAGTCTTGGCTCGATTCAAGCCAATAAGGCCACATAGGATTAAACATAACTTGTATAAATAAATATAATTTCATGCAAAACCTCGAATGCCTGGGCACATCATGTAATCCCAATTCAACCATATTCTTATCGACCACTAGATGGCCCTTTATCGTCTCGCTATCTACTAACGTAGGCCACCGTTGTGCCTAAGCTGTGCGCCAACCTCATCGTTACACTTCAGACACAATTCCATCCCATGAGTCCCCTCAAACAGCCAAATGTTTTACAGTTACAGCTGGCTGTCAACAACAATGGCCGCTACATCAAGAGCATTTTGCTCGGCTTTACATTGCCATAATCGGCAATGTAAAAAGCCAGATCTATCATTTTTTCGATTCCCACTCAATAAGGAGAGGTACTATTCTTAGATCATGATTAAGTTGCTGCTGTGTAACTATGTATAGATTACAATTAAGATAGCATTAGCTAAGAAACAAACCAGTGTTAAATTAGCCTTTGCAATAGTCTTGTCCAACACCGATACTATTACTGTGCGTTCACACCAGAAGCGAATTGCGCTGCAAAGACGCTTTGGTCGCTCATAAAGATTCGCTGCGAATATTTTTGTTCGCTTTTGTCGCTCAAGACGCTCATGACGTACAATTAAATTATGCAGACGCATTTAAAGGAGCCGTATGCTTTTAGACAGCCATATCAAAGAGTGAACTCCCATACACTTTGGCCATATTGCAGAGACGGTTTTGCTTGTTTGATAAACGATAGTCGCACATCCCTCGTAACTACGCCGTGAAGGTGAACCCTCCCGGACTCCGCTATTAACATGAACCGAAGGAGCCGCACATCCACACGCACCGGACACCAAAATACAAACACATGTTTTCCATTTGATTGCTTT